CCACCCAGCTGCAGACCAAGCAGCAATTTAGCTCACCAGTGCAAAAGATGCAAAGAAAACGTCCGCAACACACAGCGACGGGCTGAGCGACAGTCTTAAGGGCTAAACCTGCCAAGACCTGGTTTTCACGTCAGACGGGAAGAGAGCCCGAGTTCAACCTGCAACCAGACATAGATTTTTGCAGGATATAAAACCTGGACAGTTTCTAGGGCTTGTGCCATCTTGTTTGTCCGTTATTTGTTACGTGGCATCACTGCCAGGGCAACACTGGGATGTCAGCACGCGGGGAGAAAACAGCACATAAGGATTCATCTAGTAAGCTTGGCCACCCCTTTATTCAAAACAGGCCACGGTCAGTTCTCCCAGTGTCCCAAAGAGTACCCACAGCCTGCCACAGATCCAACCGTTGTCAAGCTTTGGTGGGACAGCCAGCTCGGGCTCGAGCTCGCATGGGGGATTTGTGTGCATGTGTGCGCTCAAGCAGAGCAACCTGCATTTTAAAATAAGGTACTAATAACATAAATGCTAACATACAGCTACTCATCTCGGCAACATAAACATCCCTCATTAGCTGCTTTACTTCCTTGTACTTGTCAGGCACGTAATTCATTTTAAATGTCCATCAGATGGAATTTTGGTATAGGTAGCTGTTTTCAGGGAGCAAAATTTTCAGTCATGTCCCTTTTTCCCAGTGTGCTGTCTTTGAAGTGACAAAAACTTCTCCAAACCAGTCAAGGGAAATTGGGGTAGGGGCAGGGACAAGGCTCGGGTTTAAAAAACTTTTCAGGTTTGATCTGTGATTGAGTTCAGTACTGACAGCAGCCACAACGCAGGATACACGAGCAAGATAACTGTGCAGAGTGGTCCCGTCACCCATCGTAATCTTGTCGTCTTGAAAAAGTTAAAGCGTTTCGCTTCCTGAAGGAAAAAGCGCTAAATCTAGCGCCAAGTTTACTGTTTTGTCAGCAGCACTTAGGTTTATAACAACTCCAAATAATATTCTGACCCCAGATTCCTTTTATCTGCCGATATAATACGGCAGGGTTCAACACCTTTTTAGACATGAAAAGACTATCTTGTCTCAAGTAACAGCTGCCACCCGTCTCTCTCAGCCCCGTCTTTCCAAGTGTCTTCCCTGACACAACAGCACAGAGCCAAGCCTGTGCAAAGCCTCAAAGTTAAACGGTCCCTGTCTCAGATTAGGAAACTTCTCTGTTAACAAGCAAAGAATTTATCAAGTTTATCAGTTCTATCAATAAAGCAGAAATTGGTAAATGCAACAATTATGAATCTTTCCTTTTGTTAAGCACATTCACACATGCTGGTGTTTCAGCAGTATCTTCCAACGAATGAAGTAAGAGCACGTGGAGCTTGATGGGGGTACATATAAAAATTAAGTAGTGGGATTTCTCCGAGTTTTTTTACATGACACTTTTTGTAGCTCTCTAGGTATATATTCCATGTAAACAGCATTTCTTTCCCTTTCTGGTTGATTCCCCATGTACCTCAAACACACAAGGAATGACAATAAATGTATCCCTTTGTTAATCTATGTTGAAAATCTCTGCCTCTGAGCAGGTGTTTAATACCGTTTATAAGTGGAAATAACAATACTTATACTGCTGAGACAGAACCTACGGATCTGGCCTGTATCCCTGCAGGAATCATTCAAGCCAGGGGGATGCCAACGTCAGGAGTGACAGACCAGGTAAAGTACTCAGACCAGCACAGCGGTACTACAGAAAAACTTCCGGAGATGTACCTGAAGAAGGATGGCTCCTCCACCTGCCCCACCTCCATGCAGGTACACTTTCCTTACGTCAGATGAAGCACCCTGATACAGCCTGTTTGGGCTGACCAAGACAGAAGAGAAATTAAAATACATTCAGGGTTATCAGGCTGGTGCGTCACATTCAGTTACATTACGACCAGTTTAACATAATCCTGTAGGAATATTTCCTGCAGAAGGAAGTTATGTGTTAGAGCCACTCCATTTGTTTAAACATTTTCTTCTCAAGTGTGAGAGTTTGCAAACAGGCAGCTTCGGCAGGGTAAAAACTGTCCCAAAGACAAATCATCCTTAATCCTTAGACTGAGTTAATTACAGAAATATGAGAAATCAAAACACTTTAAAAACTGTGATATCCCTTCTGTAACAAACCACAATTCAAGTAACAGTCACCCCCAGTGGTAGATGTTCCTGTGTTTACATGCTGCAATGAGCAGCCACAGCCTAAATGAGAGCGGGCATCCTATACCGCTGTTTTCACATCTACTGCTGCTTCTAAAGCAGTGGCAGAAAACTGCATGAAATTGAGATGCACCGCAAATGAAAAAAGTCAAGTTTTTTTTCTGCTTTTCATGCTTGAATTGTATTTATGAAACCAGATGAACCTGTAGCAATAATCAGCAACACAGTCTCCGTTTTTTCCTTCGCAGTTCTTAATCTCTTGTACCTTATTTCTCGTTTCCATCATCCACAAAACCTGAACTTGTAATTCTGGCACAGTGTTTTCAGCAAATCATCCATTAAAGCAGTCATCCCGGCCAAATTAGAAAACAAAAAACCCTCCAAAACCTGCTGTTGCCTCGCCAGTTCTAAACAAAACCCTGTAAAGCAGAAACCCACACACCGTGGGTGAAACTGTACGATCCCTCCAACAAAAGAGCACATTCCCATATGCTGGGAGCAAACAAAAGTGAAGTCATTCAACTGATGTTGGCATTTTTATTAAAGAAAATTGAAACTATTGATTCCCGCTTCCAGTATTCAGAATCAACAGCAAGGAAAAGAATCATACATAATCAATAACAGTATTTTTTTCCCCAAAATGGCCTAATGACTCCCCTATCGATCACTGAATCAGGAATCTCTCCATTTACAGTGCCATGTGACTGCTACTCTTATACTCCTTAGCAGTTCCATTCTTACAGCTACCCTCTCACATCAGCTGGGTAGCTAAGGCCTCTGAAGAGAGAGCCTATCTTCAAAACTGAAAATAGGTTTCCAGTATTTTGGATTTTTTTCTCCTTTCCATAATATATTTCTCATTTGGAAAATCAACTATAAATAAAATTTTCTCCATCTGTCCAGCGAGGGAAAAAAAAACCACCCTACTATTTCAGCTAATTACAGATTACATTATCTACAGACTACTTATTTCTTTCATAAACACAACTGGAATTTAGATTCCTGACTTTTAAAGCCTTGGCTTTTCTAAAGAAGGAACTGATAATTTCATTAAGGCACTGATACTCCAGTTTTCTAATGTTAACGCTATATCCTGGTAAGAGCGGCCTTCCTCTGGTTGGTCCATAGAAAAAGTTACAAACACAGGCAAGGATGCATTTTCTAATAAGCTGTTGAAGACAACTTCTTCGTGTATGACGGGAAAGTGCTTCTATATTAAAGAGGTAGAAAGGGAACCTTCAAAAATGCAACTGTATTCGAGTTCCTCCCCTAAAAACATTACCATGATATTAATCAAAGAATCTGCAACATCATTAGATTTTGATTTTCTGTAACTTAACCCTCAATCTATGATAAGCAGAAGTGTTAGATGGGATTTCATATCTTGAGAAAAAAATGTTCCAAACTATAAATGTTTGACTAAAGCAGACATCAAATTTCCTTAAATATGACAGCTACAAAACCAGAATATCCTTACATGGCCTATTCCATTCTTTGGAAGACGCACACACTCAATGAACAGTTTATTCTAGGGCATGGCAGATATAAATTTAGCTACCCTGCAACGTACATCTGCTGTTTGTCTCTATCTGGTTCAGACATAAATCAAACCACCAGCATCCCAGGTTTTGAAAACCCATTTTAAAACTAGCAAAATTAAGTTAGTGAAGCAGAATGGAAAATTTCGGTTGGAAAGAGATGTATTACTTTGTCTTATTAAGAATATCCAACAGCAGTGAAGGCACTATTTTAATAAGCCTGGTTTTATAAGCAGAAGCATTAATAGCTATACACAAAATCCTCAGAACTGGCTAGGAAAAAAAAACCAAACCCTTCTTATTTCATAACTAAACCTCCCTGTTCCCTTGTATACTACACCCTGATGCTTATGCATCAAGTTCAGCATGTAACCAGGTCCAGAATAACTGTCACTGGCCTATAACCAGATATTTGGTACTTTCACTAACATCTTGGTTTCAACCTTCAGCTCCAGCATGCAGCACTGCACAGCACTTCTTATTCATCAAAGCTGTGTCCACTTAAAAAGGACGGGAGACACTGCAGAAACTCTAAGAAAGAACTCTAAGCTGAAGGTAGAGAGTTAATAGTTATCATAATTATGTTTTGGAGAACCTAATTAATTTTGATTCTCCTTTTTAGTCTTTCAGACAGTGGAAGGGGACTGTCTGCCCATGCAGATGTCAGAGGAGCACTTTCAGCTTGCTGCGTGGGGCCAGGATCACAGCTCTCAAACAGTTGCTCTGGACTTTGGAAACAATTACCTTCCCCTACTGGGGATGGTTTGGGAGATATTTCCAATGACAAACTATTACCAGCTTTTTTTAAACTGGTCTTTTTATTCTGCCCTTTACTTAGAAGGCCCGAGTCACTGTTTGTTCTGTTAGTAGTACTCCTTTTCTTCGTATATTTTTTAAACTGACCAGGGTTTAGTTGCTTTTTCTGCTGCTCATAAATCAGATTTTTAATCAGGTTCCCATCATCACTGTCTTCACTAGAAGAAGATCTGTTCTGACACACACTCTTTTTAAGAGAAGTTTTCCAAGTAGTTTGAGTACAAGCTTTTTTAATGTGACAGCCAGTTCCAGCATCTCCTGGCTTTTGAGACACCGGAAGCATTTCACACTCAGGATGCTGTGTTTTTGTTCTTTGCCCACTGAGGACCAGAGATGCTGAACTGCTTACATTAGCGTCTCTCTGCATCACTTCAGCCAGGCTGCCAGCTTTTTTGTACTGATCCTGATAAATGTGTCTGCTGGATTCCCTTGCACAGTTCTCTGGCAGTACATTTTCACCTTCCTGCACTAGTTTATTTAACTGACACGAGGCAGAATTCAATGCTTCTTTCATTTGTTTAAAACATTTCAAACCCTCCAGTTGCATAACATCTTCCGACAACAAAGGGTTTGATGGAACGGAAGCTGTTAGTATTCGCTCACTTGAAGACAACTTCTGAAGTTGTCTCACAGCATCATCTGAAACCAAATCATCTGCACTATCAGAATGATGCTGATCAGACTGCGTAGCATCAGAATATTCTGAGCTACTTCTTACAGTTTCATGACCCAGTGGATGCGAGTGTTTTATGCATGCGGTTAGGTCAGCTGCTGGATCACGGGCATCACCCCCATGGGCTGGTGCAGCACTGAAGAAGGTCCCTTCCCAGTCAATACTGCTCAGTCGTAGACCAGCTGTTACAGAGGAAGAGGACGATATCCCTGAATTTTTAGTAAACTGCGCTGGCTGTACAGAGGAGCCAGCCAATGTACTCTGTAAGCTGGAGCAAGGTGATGCAGCCTGCGGAAGAGTGGGTGCTGATGCTGGCATTTGAACAGTCGTTATGCCAGAAGCTGCAGCTAACACCAGACCGTTTGATTCAGTACTTCTCTGGTGTGTCTGATCTTCCGGGGGAGTTTTGACATCTGCTATGGAGTCTTGCACAGGAAGAATTCCACATCTAGATTTTAAATTCATTTGGGACAGAAGACTGCTAACTTCATCAAAAACATTTGGTAATTCCTTTTCTTTTGGTCTGTCTTTCCGGCCTGAAAAAAAAAGAAAGGCATTATTAACCACAGTTCAGGTTTCCTAGTACTAAAGCATAAAAAGGTAAGCTAAAAGCACAGTCCCTACAAGGTATCATGCCCCGATCTTGACAAAACAAGACACCCCGTAACAGCGGGAGAAAAGTTTTTTGCTTTTCCTACTGTATTCTGGCAAGACTCACAAGTCCTTAGGAAATAAGCTTTTGGACTTACTTTTCTGTTTCTTCTTTAGAACTTTTGACTCTTCCACTTGATAGCGAGCAACAACATCAGGATAAGCAGCCTGAAACAAAGACTCCTCTTCCACTGTGACTACAAACAACCCTGCAGGCTCATCTTCTGCATGCACATAATGTTCTAAAAACCAGTGAATGCACATCAGACACGTACATACACACATATCAGAGTGGGGAATAAGAAAAAGAAAGAACAAAAGATTTATTCGAGTACAAAGAGGGTATGTGAAAAGGTCAATAGTACAACGTTTGGGATTCAGCTACAAGTGAAGTCTTTTTCTTTCTGCCAGTCTCCTGAAACAAATGGGCACTCCAAAGGTAGAAGTCTGTCAGCACAGAAAAACTTCTAGCTAGTAAACTGTCACAGCTTCTGGTACACAGTGAAATAAGAGATGAAATAGACTCCAGATCTTATTAATATGTACCTGAAGAAGTTCCTGAAGACCAAGTCCCTTGCTTTCTAGGGGAATGTAGGCACATTTTAATTTTTTGAGCAATTCTTTTACTTTCAGGGTATGTGAAATCTGATGCACAAATTCTATTGTTTTCACAGAAGTTTCTAATCTCGCCCACATTTCATTGCCTCATAATGTTGTCAAACTCTTTTCCTCTTTAAAACATGTTTTCCTCTTTTTTTATAAACTGTTTTGTGCTATAATGTACATCAAAATCAGACCAACCTGGTTTTTGCCACTCAATTTCAAAACAGGGAATTCCATTTTTAACACGTGTCTTGACTATCCTGTGAGAAAAAGAGAAGCACATTAAATGATTTTGTTTAAACAGGAAATGAAAAATCAAAGTTACCTAAAAATATTTCAGTACTCTGATTTGTAATGATTCAGAGGAAAAAATATCCTTGTAATAGTGAAATGAATCTGTGTAAGTTATACAGTAAAATTTTGGGTCTAGATTTGAATACTGAAACGTCTTTTTTTTTTTGATAATACAATTCAGAGGAGCATTACAAGACATCAGAAAAACTGTTCTGTAACAGACAACTGTAATGCAGACTCCCACAAACATCAGTTCGGTATCTTCAACTAATGTCACAGAGGCGGCTGTTGCCATAGACAGTAATTTTCTGAATGACCAGAGAGGGTCATTTATATCTTTGGCATAAGAGCATGAGGAAGATAAAAGATGGACTAAGCAGGGACAGTCAGTCTTGCTGAGATTTTTCTACAAACATTATCTCCACCCCAGTTTAATAGGTTCCTACGTGCAAAGAGGCTTCTGCTGAATCACTAGTGCATTTTGAAACACTTGTTAACAAAAGAAAATCTTCTAGGGCAGGCATGATCCATCTTTTAAACTCCTGAAACATTAGAAAGTGTTATGAACAGAGGATGTCAATTAATCCATTCATCAAGGTAAACACTGGTAGTCTAGCCATCCTGTTTAGAAATCAGCCCACAGTCAGTCTCTCACTCTTTTGAAAGATAACACTGAGTAGAACAGCTTCTCTGAAAGCTGTAATTTAACAGACTGACGTATCAACCCAGAAGAGAGACATTATTACACTGCTACTGACTGTCCTTCTGTCCCCCAAATTAACATCTATAAAATGTTGAACAGCATTAAAGAACATGGACAAAACTACTAACCTTCTTGCAATACAAGAACTGGGGGGGTAATGTGGGTTTCATTTGGGAAATGAGACCATCAGATACTAAATTTAAAACAAGCAACAATTCCCTCCACACAGTGAGGTGCAGATTTGCCAACAGACACTGCTGTTGTGGTTTAATTTCACTCAGCAACTAAGTACCACATAGTTGCTAGCTCACTTCCCCCAGTGGGATGGGGAGGAGAATTGGAGGAAAAGATAAGGAAACTCGTGGGTTAAAATAAAAACAAATTAATAAATCAAAATAAATGAAATAATGATACTAATAATATTAACAATACTAATATTACTATTGATAATACACAATGATACTATGACTATTACAACTAATAATATGTAATGAAAACAATGGAAAAGAAGATAGATGATATAACCATTTACCACTCATTGATGGATGCCCAGCCAGTCCCCAAGCAGCGAGAGCCAGAGCAGACTCTGAGCGACAGCATCAAGCAGCAAGAGAGGAACCTCTGGCCTAACTCCAGTTTATATATTGATCATGACATTTTATGGAATGAAACACCTTTTTGGTCAGTTTGGGTCAGCTGTTATATATCCCAGCTTCTTGATACAGGATGCAGCATCAGAAACTGCAGAAGTCCTTGATTTGATATAACATTCTTTAGCAACAACTAAAAACATTAGTATGTTACCAATATTTGTGACAGCACACCAAAATACAGCTGGTATTAGGGACTGTGAGGAAAGTTAACTCTATCCCAACAAAAAACAGCACATAATGTAAAACTTTAGGTAAGATTAAGAAAAGATTAGACCATTAAAAAAAAAAAACCAAACCACCATTGGTGGCTGATAGAATAACAAGCTACTAATTCTGGCTCAGAAAATCCCTGAGTAACAGAAAACTGGATGGTGGGAAAATATTCCAGGGGAAAGAAGTTACATGCTTATCTGGGACTTTTTTCCTGCATATCCACCTTCAGTAAGAGGATACTTGGCCACTTCTATATTTCTAAATGCATCAGTCCTGAATGAAAATGCTGTTTTGAGAAGAAGGGGTAGCAGAATAGAACTATAAGCAAATAATTTCATCACACACTACAACACCACTCGGTAGGTTTGATAAGAAATCAGAGGCCATGACTGAATTTGCTGATGCTCATTTCTAAGTCTAGGCTCTTATTCTGAATCACAGATGTCAGTTAAACTTCTGCTAAGAACCTGAGCAGAGGATCAAATGTGTAGTGCTGTATTGCATGCGAGTATCCAAGGAAACAGAATAGAAAGTAAGCGTAGGAAAAAGCAGGCATTGTGAGTTAGAATGAAAGGGAACTGCTATAGGTATTACTTCGTGCAGCAGTAGTGTAAGAATTGGTGTACTGGTCAAAATTTTTACCTCTATTCAAAATGAGCACAAGCCTTGAAACAGAGATGGAAGAAAACCATTAAATTTCCATATAAAATGAAAAAAAAGCCACCATGATTTTCCTCCAGCAGCAGAAGTAAAAATACTAAGTTCAAGAAATCAAGCTACCTTACCGTATTGCCTGCAGTTGTTTTGAATCAATGTATCCAGACTTCCTTTGGATCATATCATAAAGTGTCAATAGTCCTAACAGTTTCTTACAGCTGTAATGTCTGGCCCATTCCATCTTCTCAGAAGCAAATATCTGTTAGCACAAAAAAACGCCACAAACTTGACAACTTTCTTACTCTGTCAGGTATCATGCTTAGACAGCTTTGTCACAGGGTCACAGGACTAAATACTTAAAATATCTAGAGCACGTTTATACACTGGTGTAGTGCCTAATGATACCTCAATGCCACAGGAGGGAACAGGCATCTGTAACGGGGCAAATTCATCAGCTGTCAATAACAAGCCAAGGCAACAGTTGTGCAGTAGCAGCAGGAACACCTGATCAGCTATGCAAGGAGCTGTGAAAATTACGGATTTTGCATGTGAGAGATGAACACGGACTTCCATTAAAGCTACATTGCTCAACAGTGGTCTATTACGCTATACATAATTCTCACTTTCACCAGTAAAAACCAAACAAAAATCCTAAGAAGTCTCACAGGATATTTTATCCTTTCTTCTATGGACAGAGGTATAAACTAGACCACTTTTGAGCTTTGTGCACTTTGAATTAAAGGGCCTTTGAACTTGAAAGCTGGAGGTATCGTCCTAAATACAAAACTACTATCTGGTTTTGGAAAAACATGCAACATGTGGAATAAAAGCCACTTCTGCTTGTTATATACATAAGCTAGTTATCACAATTATATATAAAAAACATTTGAAAATAAAGTTTAACATTAAAAAAAGTCCACAGAAGACAAGTACAGGCTGGG